GTTTTTCGGAGACGACTTCGTTTCAGTACGGTAGGCGATGCATCGACTGTCGACTATGTCAGGGCTGACAGGGATGGAAAGATGGAGGATACAGTGCATGGCACAGCATGGCAGCAGAACTCAGCTCTCCTAAACAGATGAGGCTGCATTTCAGTGCTTCGGATCATTTAGAAAGGAAGATTTTTTTAATCATATAGAATTTCAAAATAGTTGCTAAGAAAGATTTATCCTAGAAAGTAATTCTTAGTAGTTGCAATGTTCCTCAAAGGAACTGGAACAAAATGAACTAGTGATTCACTATGGGCCCAACTGAGTCTACAAATCTGTTCTGAAACCTTGATTTAGCTACTTATCCTATTTTTCTTAAGAAGTGGAATTCAACAAGCTTTTGAGGTAGTACAAGTTGAAAAATCATGTCTGAGCTGTGTCTGGTTGATTCAGACTACCTGTAGCTATAGCAGACGGGAGAAGCTTCACACTCCTTTTCCTCAAACAAGGAGTCCGGGCACTCACGACCTCCGTTGGCGGGGAGCTGGATGATGACTCGGTGACGGGACTGCTTCTTTACTGCGACACCCCCTGCAAAGAGTAGAAGAGGTTGTTTCTCCTGCTACTACATAGGAATGACAGTAATTAGGGGAAAAATAAGATTTAACGTAACAGGTATTTGAGTCGATTGCTATAATAGTGACATGTTATTTTGTCCATATGCAGAAAATTAAGCCAAACAGATAAAACACTTTAATCTCAGCTAAAGGCCAGGAAGCAGAACTAAACAGAAAGAAACAGTAGCAATACTGAACAAATGAATATACAGCTGAAGTGAACACACAGTTCAAGTGAACAAAAATTAAACCAGCTCAGTTTGCTGCTACACTTTACAGTTTGAAAGTGTAAATTTGCCCTTTGCAAAACCAGAAACAGAAGTTAATGGAAATAAATTATATTTCACAATTTTTCCATTCAGTAAATGACTCAATCTGAAAATCTGCTTGCCTTTTGCTTATCTCCACAGCCAGGAATATAACAAATTTAATTCATAGTCTTGGTTCTCTCCAGGCTGGGCTTTAATTCTGCTCCCTATACCCTTGTTTCCCACCTGGGACTAGCATTACCCTATCTAGATACACAAAAAATATTCCAAAAGAGCATTCTTTACATTTAAATGTGAAGTTTTATTTCCCACTCTGGAATTAATTTACAGTTTACAGTTTTTAATTATTATAGTCATTCATTATTAACAATAAACAGTAAATAGTTCCTGTAGGAATTTTGATTCCAGTCATCTTCAGATATCAGTTCTTCAGAGAGAAAATTAAGAACACACAAATTTATATTAATTCCATAGCAATACCTAATACACAAATATTGTTAGGTAAAAATCTTGGATTTCTTTTTTTCTTTTTTTTTTTTCCCAGAGAGCTGTAGCACAGACATTTGGCTGACTGGGTTGATATCAGCTTTAGGTGGGTTATTACAGCAGCTGCAGCTTGTCTGAACACAGAGGCATGCTGGACCACGGCCAAACGATTGTAATTAGGAGAATCCCAGTGGTGGCTCTCCACCACCTGGCCGCTTTTCAACGCAGAGGAAACCCTCCACTCCCAAGTCAATCAGCTCCAGGAGGTGCCAGGAGCTGGCACAAGGGGCAAGACAGACATGCAGCCCAGCAAAGCTGCTGACCAGCTTGCTGACACAAATGGGTAAAACCCATGAAATAAAAATGGTTTGTGTAGTATAAAAAGAGTTTGACTCAGTGAATAGACAAAAGGCCTGTATTGGTTCACAAATACCCTGTTTTTAGCAGCATACGTGCTAGTTTGTAGTCAATATTCGTGAAGATATGTTCATTGCATCAAGACCTTTCTTAAAACCCGCAGCAATAAGAACAGAAGAGGGTGGCATTTTTGTCCAAGATGATCTGCCCCAACAAGAATATTTCAGAAAGAACCATTAATATTGCTGTAAAATAACACAGTATTTAATAATGAATAACTATTTCATGCATTCGGACTCAATGGTCTTACTTCTCTGTTCTTTTTCAAAGGTTTGAAATTTAATCTTCTTAACCCCTTTTTTATTTGCGAAAATGCACTAAGCACTAATAGGAATTACTGCAAAAATGACTTTATGCTTGTGTCCTTTATAAAGCATAAAGAATTGGCCATGACATTCGAAGTGTATATATTTGATGTAACAATATCTTACATTCTGATAACATGGTTGCTGTGAGTAATCACCATGTCCCACATAGGGATTAGCACCCCGTGGAACTCAGGGTATTATAGACTTTGTCTGTAATAGTACATATTATAAAAATACCTCCTGTGAATCTTAAAAGAGAAAAAGAGATAAGGCAGAAAAATGTGAGCAATATTAAACCAGTCATCACTTTAACTCTACGTACGATTTCAATGTAATAAAAATTCAAGGGAGACCTGCACTGTTAAGAGATTTGCCAAGTGTATTAAAATGGTATTGCAATGTATGTTTAAATCAGACCATTAATATCAACTTAAAGTCCGGTGATTTTTATTAACTTTCCTTCAGTTTTCCTTCAGTTTTCAGAGGTAGAATAAACCAGCACAGACAAAAGTGAAAGAGTTTTGCCAAAATTATATACATATGCAGATCTCCTCTCTCTTCAAATACTGTTTCTGTAATTGTACAAGTATGTGTTTTGGTGTTACACTAAGAGATATGTGTCTGCTCTGTGACTAGTTCTCTCTTTATCAGTGGAAGATGCAAATGGGAGTTTGTAAAAGTAGGCAAAATAGGAAAAAAACCCAAACAGATGCTTATAGAAAATGTATAGAAAGAACTATTCTATTCAGCAAAAACACTACATCCTCCTTGCAGCTGCTCTATCAGCTATTACGTCTTCTGTCAGAAAGAGATGTGTATAAGTATTCTGCCAAAAGTGACTGCTAGTCTGAGTCCTTTTTTTTTTTCTTAAAAATCTGTCTACTAGCACACAATGGATAAAATTACCTTCTTGACATGAAGAAGGACACAATGTCCAGTCACTGAACGGAGTCACAATACAGTCCTTCCTACAGGGAAGCAGACAAGGCCTCACTGTTTCTGGTCGGAGGCTCTCAGGGCACCTAAAAAAAAAACCAAAAAAGAAGCATTATTAAATAAACAATCATTCTGCAGTGAAGTGGTGAATCACAAGAGGTACTGAATGCTTGTAGGCACATGAGCGGAGTGTTAGCTGCCCAGAATTCACCAGGATTGAGCTAAGAAATAAAAACTGTTAGAATTTAAATATATCTGGTGGAAGCAAGCCAAAAACGGTGCATTCTACATCTGGGGATTTAACTAAAAAAAATCTCCATGATTCCTCACTCACCATTCCAGACTCTGCCTTTTGAGTGTTATTTTCAAGCTTCCAAATGGTTGTGAAGAAAAGCCATCTAGTTTAGCTTAGCAAAACACATTTTTAGCTCTTCATAAATTTACCAGAAACATAAACTGTGGAAGGAGGCATATTTAAACTAAATAATATTGCTAACCCAGGAACAAATAGGTAGAAGCTGGCCATGATTATGACAGAAACCAGAAAAGGGTTTGAAACTGCCAGATCAATGAGACTGCGAAAGACTGTCAGAAAGGACAGAAAACATTGCTTGTTTTAGGAAGAGGCTTGATGAGCATGTAAAAGGGATTATTGGACTGCCACATATGGGACTTATTAACCCAAGTCATTTTCCCCATTCTGTGTTCCTATTATTTCATCAAGGACAAACAACTCTCTCTGCTGCAATACTTGGTTTCAGACTGATGCAATAACTCTTGCAGAAGTACTGCAAATCTTTAAAATAATTTCAAAAGGACTATTGCCTTAAAAGTGCACAGAATGTGGACTGTCAGAGGATTACATAAAGAGGTAAGAAAAACATCACATCTGTATTTTAGAGCTTTTGGCTCATTGCAGAAAAACATTACTATGACTAGCTTTTCCTCTTGTGGCTGCTGGACATCTTGGACCAGAGAGATGAGAGACCAGTTTTATATTTGGATTGGATCAGCTGGAGAAGCTTGGCTTGCACGAGGCATCTTTCTTGCCAGGCTGAAGGGAGCACAGGCAAGCCTAATGATGAGCTGCTGAGAAAATGTGGTCTCCATGGTCAGTGGAGAACTATGCCTGTGTCAGTGTGGGAGGAGAAGCAGGTGGAAAAGAGAAGAAAAGTTGAGTTGCAGCTTTACAGGAACATGTTCTTCAGCAATAACACTTGCTAGTTCATGATTTCCATCGGTTGTCTCTGCATTTTCCTGTCAATTTACATAAACTTGTCAGAGTATGATCCATTACTGTGAACCAGCACCAACTTCTTGGTCCCCTCCTATAATGACATCTCCACCCTTTGTCTTTTCTCCCCTAAAATACTAACAGGAAAGACCATGAAATATTAAAGCTACAGCAACATAAATCTCCATCACCTCTCCATAAGCTCTCTACATTCTTAAGTCAAATTGTGCCTTGTTTCTATGTGATTCATAAAATCAGATTATGTATGTATGGGTGTATTACGTGTAGAATCACAGAATCATTAAGGTTGGAAAAGACCTCTAAGATCATTGAGTCCAACCGTCAACCCAACACCACCATGCCCACTAAACCATGTCTTTTAAATGCTTCCAGGGATGGTGACTCAACCACTTCCCTGGGCAGCCTGTTCCAAGGCCTGACCACTCTTTCAGCAAAGAAATTTTTCCTAATGTCCAATCTAAACCTCCCCTGGCGCAACTTGAGGCCATTTCCTCTCGTCCTATCGCCAGTTACTTGGGAGAAGAGACCAACCCCCACCTCGCTACAACCTCCTTCCAGGTATTTGTAGTGAGTGATAAGGTCTCTCCTCAGCCTCCTCTTCTCCAGACTGGAGACGTTCCCTCAGTCACAGTTCCCTCAGCCACTCCTCATAAGACTTATGAGACTTATAAGACATATGGTCAGGTACACTTAAAAAAACCCATCTGCCACCAATCATATACATTGACTATACTTTCAGAAATTTTCTCTAAGGTTAAAATTCAAAATGCTTCTGAAAAGTATTGAATATTGGCTTACTATTGGCTTTTTCCTCAAAGAACAACAGAAATTTTAAGTGTACAAAAAAGTCTGAATTATACACATTCACTGTTTCACTGAGAACTTCATCTTTCAGGAGCACTGAACATTACAATTCCTCTTCAGATCCTTGGGCAAGGCAATTAGTTCAATTAGAACACCATTTCTATCTTTTATATTGTTTATATTTAGTATACGTGGCTTAAAGCAAAGTATTGATTTTTTTGCAGTCCTTACTCAAGGTCAAATTAAACAGAAGAGATACAAGCTGAAGTCTGTAACTTGTGAGGTAGATAAGGGCAATAATATTGATTGTATCATACCACAGTAATCCTTTTTATTAAGGGGAGTTTAAAACAAGGTTCCTATTTACATTTTCGTGTTAAATGTCTGCTTCTTTAGAAATGATTCAGTGGTTTTAATGTGACAATTTGAAGGATCAACCAAGACTTTTCTTCTCATTTTACAGGATTCATTTACAACACAATAAAACAGCCCTCCTCCCAAAAATTTAAGGTCAAATCAAAGGCAGAGATATTAACAGCAGATTTAAAAAGGAAGATAAATCATTAGAGGTTTTTTTTAAAATGTAAAATGAGTACCAAATAAAAGATATAATGGTATCATGACTGAATAGAACAGCAACTTTATGCAGGTACACAACAATTTAGATTACTAAATGTGCTGGCATTATTCCATTTTTCCATTGCATATTTCCATTTAAAGTAAATTAGGAATAAGTCTACTGCTGAATAAAGCAACAAATGGCAGACACCATGCAAATATTTAGTGCTAGAATAGCTGCCTCGTGAACTTTCTAAATGACCTCTGCTATCAGCTCTTCCAGCTTTGAATCTGTCCTCAGTGGGGTATATTTACAGACTGCCAAATTGTACGAAGATATTATCAAATGCATTTTACTAGCAGCTAATCTGTGTTTAACCCTGGTTATATATTAAACTGCAAAATTAAATCATTGGGCCAAAGGGATCTCTTAGAAAAACACGTATATGGGGGAAAAAAACCTCACAAAAGTTGTCAAACTAACATTCAAATTCATGTTTTAAACTAATGCCCTGTCAGAGCTGTACTATACTTGACCTCCTCAGTCTGCTTCTGAGAAGATGCACTTACATGCATTGTACTGTGTTTAGACCCAAAACAGTATTTTTGCATGGAACTGCACTAATCCATATAGTGCACTGCTTGCTTGGAGGTACCACAAGGATCTTGGAAACAGTGCTGCACTGCACACCACACACATGCCTCAAGATTTTTATCTCAACTTGACCTGATGATGGCAAGGAGCCACCTGGATTTAGCAGTCAGCTGTCAGCAAAGTCACCACTGTAAATATAACCCATAAAAAATCAATAGTGAGAAAGGTATTTTATAGTCCTTCTGTAGCTTCAATTTTGTATTTTTAAAAGATGAATTGTTCCCTCATGAGAACACAAAGATGGGGGTCTTTTTGTCTTTGCATGCAGTCATTGGTGACATAAATATAGAGCAGTAAAATCCAAAGATAATTACAGCATGAAGATATTTTTTAAGATCTTTACTTTTTTGGGCCCACTTGTCCCACGTTGACTCTCACACAGATGACCTTTCTTGTCTGCATCCCCACGGAACAGGTGGCCTCCCCATTCCAGCTGGCAGAGGAGTTGAAAGCAGAGACAGACGTATCCTCTATGCACTGTCCCCACGGGCCAGTCTGCCAATGATACACAGTGCAAGAGTGTTCGTTACAGCTGCGTGTTTCCTGTAGGGCACTACTATTTGGGCACTGTATTCCTCCTGGAACAATAAAACAGGGCAAAAGTTCATGCAGTGGAAGGAAATAAAGTGTTTTATTAAAAAAAAAAACAAACAACAGTTATTAGTTATAATACTACAGTTATTAGTTATATATTATCACTTTGATTACATGAAAGAAATGTTGTTCCTTTTTCCTCCTCTTCATATGCCCAATATGGACTTTGGCAAACTTCAGTCAATAGACTACACAGAACAGAAATGTACATGGACAGTAAATGTAAATGTGTACAATAAGGATACCAAAATAATCATAACTTTTATAACACACTAAGTGCTTGGAGTAATCTACAGCCTTTTTATTTTGGGGTTCTCCAAAAGAGACTGCAAGAGATCATACAAGGAGGTATGAAGGCTGTAGGCAGAAGAAATGGTTAAATGTTCTAGTTATGCATGTGTAGAGACCGCTGTTTATGTCTAATTCACGGATCAATTAAAAAGATTTTTGGTGCTCTTGTCCTAGCTCCCAGTGGATATTTATCCATTTTACGTAATTACCAAAGAGGATGGCACAGCTGGCAATTTCAGGTCCAGATTGAGATAACAAAGGCTGTTGCAGGTAAAGATTAAAATGCATTCATGTGTCAATAATTGTGAAGAAAAGCTCAGATAATGTAATCTTTGTTGTGTCCGGTTTCAGATAATATGTTCAGTTTTTTATACTCAAGCACTTCAAAGCTAATCTGGCCTTCCAGTCCTCCATGAGTGGAGAAGAGGTCTTTCCTATCAGACTTGATCATAGGCTACTAGATGTCTAGCCATGTGAGTAGACAGCATGTCTGCTAGATCTCTGGTGTTGCTAGACATATACAATCTAGGTTTAAGAATTAATTTAAACATTCATGGCCTACACAGGAACAATAGGACTCTTATCTCCAGACGATAGAAAGCCAGGGGAAATCTAAATAACATTTTCGTCTTTCCTGAAAGACAAGAACAGTAAGAAAGATCACTGAAAGAGGAGCTTTTTATTAGTTACTGCAGATGAGCTATACTTTGCTTTCCACTGAAAAGAAAAATGTATGCTTACACCAAGCACATATCAGAGAGCATATTAGCCTTTCGATCCCACTGCTGAACTTTAGGTTGACCTCTGGCCCTACAGACATGCAAGAGGGAAGGGGTTTTAAGCACTCATTGTTGAGAAAAATTAAACAAACAACTAACTGTAATCAAAGAAACAAAGAAACAAGTACTCCAACACAAGTAAGTCAAGTGTCACAAGTGGTGAAAGTACTTTATACCCCAAGTTGCTTTTGTGGAATGTCTAGATCTGCAGCAAACGTGAGGAAAGGGCCATTCTAGTGAAATCATGGGACAAAATCCAAATTCTCAAATTGTTTCCATAGAGATAATTTTAACTTCTGACTTTGGGCTAAAAATATTGATGCAACCAAGAAACAGTAAACATCATATTAACTGAGATGTCATGCCAAAGACAAGCTAATCTTAAGTTTTGCAAAGGGGGATTAGAAAAACCTAAAAATGTGTGAATGTAATTAAACAATGACTGAAAGGGAATTGGTTCTGGCTTAGAATGGATGCAACTCAAGTCTATCAGATTTGCTTTAAGTATATGTCAATATGCATAGCACCAAGACAAAACATGTCATATGCATTTTCCTAAAAACGTACATTAAAAAATCAAATGGTAAAACAAAATTGTGGTTATGTAATATGTTTCAAAAGTTATTCAAAGCAGCTTCCTTCAGCAAATAAAAAATCTTCCAGTTAACAGCAGCAGATAGGAATATAAGCAAGGAAATTAGGAAAGTCAGTGTATTTTGAAAAAGAAAAAAAATCCAAGATAGTAAAGTCACAAATTATTTGGCATGGGAGAGAAAATTGATCCACATGAGAAGGAGTCTAGACATATTCCCCAAGTACAAGGGTTAAAAAAGGGAGAATTTAGAAGAGATGAGGAAGGTTACTAAATTAATTATTTCCATCTGATGTTAGCTCAAGAAGAAACACAAGGGAAATATTTAAGTAAATTCATAAATTAAAGGGGGCTGTGTGGGAAGAAATGTTTCCCCAAGAATGGAAGCCATAACCATCAGTTCCTAAGGCATTTGAGAATAAAGTGACAATTTAGATTCAGTTTTGACAGCTATGCAAGAATGTATATTCAGGGAAAAAATGAGAGTGACATTGACTTGTAAATGAAAAACATTAGGGCATGAATGTTTGCAGCTCAGTGGGAATCCAATTCTGTTCAGATGAACCCAGTAGTTAAAAAAAACTACATAAAGAATGAACAAAATGTAGAAATAATTTTACTGAAATATAAAACAACTAGCACTAGTACTAAATTTGTAATACTAAAAAATATACTCTTTATTTATAAATCAATGTGCCATTCTCTCCAGGAAAACAACATTCCCTTGTGCTCCCTGAAATTAAAGTACGTACAGGATAAGCAGAAGGGGTTGGAAAACTGGCAGTTAAAGATGCCCTTTATAACAGGGCTAACAAGATCAGGGCTGCTCAACTTTAAGAACATTTCACCAGATGAGGTCAGGTTTGACAGGAATATAAAAATTAATGAGTATCACAGAAAAAATAAAATAGGCATTTAATTTTGTCAGAATACATGAAAAAGGGACATACAACAATAAATACATTTTATATAATACATGGTTAGATGACTGTAAATAACTGCTTGGCAGTACTAAAAATATTCATTTCAAGGTACAAAAAAATAGTTGGAACTGAAGCATTTCTTTGTGGTTTAGGATACTAAAGCAAAGCACACTTGGAAATGAAAGGCTAGCTTTACAGAGGGACTTGCATATTACTCATAAAATAGCAGAGATATGAGGGTAGTTTCCTTGAACGCTTTAACAGAATTGTCATATGCTTTTCTGCCTGATTTGGAGCTGTTAATGGGTAAGACATTTCACTCTAGGATATTCAAGGATTGAATTTTATAAGTCTTTTTTTGTGACATTTTCTTGATAGCTTCCAAATTTCAAAATGCTTAATGTTTTTTAAAGCATTTAGGATCATTTTAATTAATCACTTTGATATCACTCATTTTACAAATGCATGTAATTTTATATATGTATTTCAAAACAGCTGGAATAATCTTAGGAGAAAACAGATGCGACTGAAGTGCCTCTTGTAATCTAGAGGGGGAGGTGTTACTTATTTCTTCTTTGCCTTAGGAACGAGGTAGGCACTCCTCGAGGCAGCTGCACTTCCCGAAGACAGACGTGGTCAGTACACGCAGACGGCTAACATAAGAACAAAGATTGCCCTGTCGGTGCAGATCTCTTGTTCCCGTTCTGCAAACATTCACGCTTCCTCACCTGGTGCATAACCGTTACGCAAACCAAGCAGACCTGTCCTATAATACACAACGGGACAGGAATTAGGGTCTACCCATAGGAGATGAGAGGTCTGTTCTCGAGTCCTTCCTCGGATGGATTTGAATCCCAGATCCCACCCTCCAGGCAGGAATCTGAACTGAGGGGCTCCTGAGCAAAAGGGGAAGCACAGTAATGTCCTCTCCCCCGGCTCACCTTCACACGCAGGTGGCAGGTCACTTTGCAAGTCTAGTCTGAAAATTCATGTTCCCCAGTTCCAAAAGTAAGTGGTTTTTTATTCCTGTTTCAGCTGAAATCAGTTAAAACTCATGGAAATCCCTATCTTCTCCAAAATTCATCCTTTGGTGAATAAGCAATTTGCTGGGGAAACAATTACTCAATTCTATGCTTTCAGATTTAATTACCAAGCACTGTTATTTCAAGCCAGGAAAATACAAAAATTAAAAACAAACAAACCGAGCAAGTGTAAGAAGAGTAAACACATTAAAAAGCCCTAAGTATAACTCCTCTTTTGCAACTATGAAGTCAAAGTGCACTGGAATTTTAACAGGAATAAAATTTTAAAGCATATCAACCATAATTTGCCTAGAGTTGAGAAGAAAGTCCTTTGATCCAGCTGTTCTTTACAGGTTCAGTAAACCAATCTTGCAGATATATGAGAAGTATGAGGTATTGGCCCCTGTCAAACAGAATACCTGATGAGATGGACACAGATATTCTATGCTATCTAACTCAGTGATGTTTAATAGTCTGTGATATATGAGGTCACACTAAACAGTCCTTCTGGCATTATACTTTGCTAATCTATGAACATACAATAGCCATAGTAGGATATTGCCATGCATATGCATCCCTGCCCTAAGAGAATATTTCAAACAAAATCGTCCTTCACTCTCATTTTATTAAATTAAGCTTTTTGATCAGATTATTTTCTTCTTTGCATTTGACTTGTGGGTTGTTTTTTTTTTTTTTAATCTTTACTTTTCCAAAATCAGTATCAGTCCTTTACTACTGATAAAACTTGGAATGTATCCACAATATTTGTGTTATGCTGTATGACACTGATTTGGCAGTGTCAATAAATGGCAGTGTATAATCAATACAGAATCAATCTGCATATCTACTATTTGCTAAAAAATTAAGACTCATTTAGTACTTTTTAGTGTCAGGTCATGGCCTGTGTAAAGTAGTCTTAGTGCGTATTACTAATTATATACGATTTTTGTAAGCAGGAAATAAAAAATTAACAGAAATATTAAACAGAAAATAAAACAAAAATAGACAAACCCTACGTTCAACAGAGATAGACTGAGCTGTATACGATGCCTTTACTACACTTATGCAGAACAACTATATGATGTATCAGGTAACATCATTATGTCCTCTGCTGTCATTTTAAATTTTGAGACAATGACTTTCCTGAGTTTCTTACTGTACCATGAAGATGTATTTGACAGTGACACAAATGAGCTACCACTATAGGCAGGCTCACAGACAGGCAAATTTATAAATCACTTCACCTTTCAAACCTTCAAGCTGAGGACAATGATCTCAGAAAAGATATCAAAAATGGTTATTGTGACACCAGTTTCCACATGGAGTCATCTCACAAACCACAGAAAGTCTTTATCTTGAGGAAAGAGTCTCCTCTCTCTCTCTCCACTGAATGCAAGTAAATAAGCCCATCCCAGATGTGCATAAACACACTGTGCTTGAGGCTCTGCAGCATGTGGTTTGACCATGGAGGTGTTGTTCTGAATGAGGAAATGCTGATGAGAGGGAGTATGGCCAGGGTCAGCTCCTGGCTCGAGCAGAAGCCAGTGTGGTGCTGGAGGGGCAGTCGTATCCCAGAGCTCATTAGAAAACTTTGTCACTACTGTAATTTACATATGGCTTCAGTTTTTCCTGTGAAGCTATTCTTGTCACCAAGGAATTATTATAATACTACTGAATTATTCCTATTCTAAGTCACCCAAGAAAATTGATTATACTGTGGCTGTTTCCTGGTGGCCCGTTATGCTAACTTGATGGTTTCTTCAAACCAATTCAGCAGCATAGATAGCTGGGAAGTAAGAGGAAAAATAAGGTCTTAATTGTGAAATGACATAGCTCTATCACAGTAATCTGCCAACCTTAACAAGCAAAATGACAGAATATAGTATTTTTTTTATTTGAAAGAGGAGACAAACTGAACAATCACAGGCAATACATCGATAAGAAGCCATCTGAGATCCAGATAAAAGGACCTATTTCATATGTATCTACAGAACCTCAAAAATTTCAGTGGGGTATTCATGTTTAAGTACCCCAATGAACAAGAGTTAAGCACTTCAGATACTTTGAAGGATTGCAGTATTCCTTTTGTATGTAATGCTTGCAATGCTTTGGTCTTGCCAGGCTTGTAGACTGAATTCTCCATGACTAGCAGGAGCGTGCGTGTGATCAAGGACTCACAGTGGTAAACCTGGCCTCCTTATGTCATCGTAGAAGCCAAATTTAGCATTATTCATAGATTGGCAACAGACTTGCACATTCTTTCATTAATTAATGTCCAAACCTGATATCATAGGAATTGTATATATTTATGTACAATATCTTTGTCCTATTGTGTTCTGAATAAAAACTCTGAAACATCATGGCTATATTATGAATTACTATGAAATGGCTTACCTAACCTGGACTGTCTCTCATACCAACAGTTCAAGGAAAAGTCCAAAAATCTAAAAGGGAACACCTGTTGGACCGTTCACCTGAACAGAACGGATAGCTATTTTCAGAGGTCAGTTTTAATGTGTAAATGGAATTATTGGTCTTACATTTATGAGACTTGGGATTTTTAGTTATACATGACAATTAGAGAGTTTTCATCAACAGTAGTGTGCATTTTTTATAAGCTCTGAATAGAACTGAGAACTGCATGTTTCCCAAAAAAGGTTCACCTGAAGCTTTCTTTTTATATCAGCAGAATACAGACTTTCAGATACACGATTATGTTCTGTGCCTCCAGAACATAAAATTACCTCCCAGCACCAACTACACAATCAGTGTTTTATGTTTTGGGAACACTGCTGATCTCTGTCATGCAGTTCTGGAGGTGAAAAGTCATTCAGTTATTTGTCACGCAGCAAATGACTAAAAGGCATAAGAGACAGCTGAGGAGAAAGATGACAATAACTCTAATTTCAGTGAAGCATAAAAAAAAAAAAAGCTAAACAGATACTTTTTGAATATAATACAAGCAAAGGTGAAAAGCACCTTCCAGCTAGATTTGTAACGATATGCTAAGCTTTGGAAGGTTCTTTTATTTATTTATGTGTTTTTATTCTCTGCAGTACGTACAGAGTGCAGAGGAGCACGATGTTGAAGATATCTGACCAAGATGTGAGTGAATTGCTATAAGCTAGGTAGATATACCAGCTTGCATCCTTAAAAAAAGCACAGGATAACCTCATCTTGGAATAGTGGTAAAGAGCCCAGGGTTCGAGCAAAGCTGAAGCACTACAACATCTAGGTAATGAGTTGGCTTTCTCAGCAGTAGTTTAGGGATCTCTTCACTACAACCTGTGTGGTTTGAGACTTGTCAATCTTTGTGACCACTCAGTGCTGGTTCTGATCATTGCGCAACAGACATAAATAAAATTCATACACCTAAAATCCAGCCTATGCTTAACTGCTTTGCTGCATCTGTAGCCTTGTAAATTATCCTAAGATGTGTTAAGTACCAAAGTCAGAACAAAATGGGTACTTTTTAAAAAGAAGCGTAACAAAGCGGAATCATTTTCTGGAGTAATTTAGGTTTTCACTTCTGTGGCATGCTTGTCAGGATGTTAAACTTCTGTCTCCAATAAAACTGCACAAGCATATGGAAAATCTATTATCTTGACCTACATGGAAAAGCACTGAGCATGAGTATATGTTTATTTGAATTATCATCTGAAAACACAGCTCTGTGTTTCGCACAGAATGAGTCCGTTTGACACACTATGAGAAAAAGGGACAACATAAAACCAATTTTGTTTCTAATTTTAAGAGCATTTCTACTTTATTACATAGATCCATCTAAGTAATTTATTATTTGAATCACCTACTAAAATAAGTACAGTTGCCTCTTACACTTGTAGCAAAGGTCCCTTTCAGGGAAAAGGTTGAAAGTGCCTGCTCTGCTAGATTTTTTTTTTTACAGTTACCCGAATTATGTGAAATACACAGTATACTTCTAGCAATTAAATTAACTGCGTTTGCAAACAGAGAAGTGTTTTGGTATATGATGAAGCCTGTCCCTTTCTTTCTCCATTTCTCGGAATGGGTATTCTGTTTCACTACTTCCATACTTTACGGATTTCACGTTTCAGCTAAATTTCATCTTAACTCTGAAGTAATAAGATGCTTAACAGTTTTAAAGAAGAATTAAAACATGCACGTGTTCGTTCATGTTGAAGGCATTTAACTGTCAGTAATACACATGAATAAATGTTTTCCAAGAACTCTTTGGTGACTATGTCTCCTTGCTGCCAGTGTTGCACAAGGCATTTTACCAGTTGGACCGCAGCATACCTGACGTGGACATTTTAGAACCATGTTACATATAGAATACATTTGCTCTATTACCCCCCAAAATACATAAGAACAAAACTAAACAAAACCATTTATAGGAAGCATAGAAAATCATCAAAGAGTAGACATAAACCTATATCCGAAACCTTTTTCTTCTTTTCCTTTATATTCCAGCTATGTCTTGTCTTTGCATTTGCTGCAGATGCTGCACAAGGACCATTTGCATGAATGGAAACCATTCACATGAGTGAGGATTTGCAGGGTAAAACCAAAGTCTTACTATGAATAAAAATGTCAATGGGGTAACATTAGTTACCAATTTGAGCTAATAAACTGCAGAAGCCATTTGTTAGGATTTGAACCCATTAACACTCTCATCTTTTCAGCATTCATACTTACATCCTTCCAAACTGGACCTAAATTATAGCTAGGGTTGCTAACAATCCTTTATAAATATCTTTCAGAGAGATCTGCGCAGGATAAATCGTTTGCCTTGTTCAATTTTAACAGAAAGCAGGAAAATCATATATTCAAAATCAAAACAGTAACATTATGCGGAATAATAAAAAAAGCAACATTAACTGAAATAAGCAAAATAAAATCTCTTTTTTAAAACAGCTTTAGGTACCATGAGTAGATGTAGGATAAGCATTTAAATATTTTTCTATATTTAAAAAACCACAACTCCATCTAATAATTTGTTTCTGTTGATCAAGAAATTACTTTGTCATTGCAAAGACAGTTGAGAATTCACAATCAAACAAGAGTCTGCAAGAGTACGCGACCTTACCTTCACCTGCATACGCCAGAATGGAGCGGGCACGCATCTGCTTCCCTTCTGTGGTTTTGCCGGAGCAGGTGTGCGAGCAGGAGGACCATGCGGACCACATGCTGAGCACACAGTCCTTTGGGCATGGAGCTTCACAGACAACCGGGATTGGGTAGATAGCATCTCTGCACAGCTGTCTGTCAACCTCGTCTCCTGGGAAAGAAAAGGCCAGTAGCAGTCTATCATTTGTTAAATTAACTTAAAATGAGCAATCTAGTCCAGATGGGCACACAAAGAAATTAGATTCTGTTCTTCTATATAAACAAGGTAAATAGATTTTTTTATTAAAATGACTTGTCTCCTCTGCCTTGATTCTAGAAGAACATGCTTAAACCTAGTTCAATCTGAAGTGAATAGGCCAGCCTGGGTGGCCTTTAGTCTTTCATTTTGTTAATACATGTTTGATTCTACAGAAAATCCTAATGTGAATAACAGTATATAATACACTATGAAAACTGTATACATGGAAATTCATGTACATTAATCACCTAGTCTTCATCCATGTTTGGGGGAGAAGGGGAAAAGTATCCTAACTTCCAGCTCAGCCAGTTTTACAACCCACAATTCACCCTTTGAATTGCAGCTATGCATCAAAATATGAAGAGTGTGGCAGTAAGCTGCAGTCAGAGTGTCTTGTTTGGTTAGAAAGATCTTCATTTGTTAGCCAAGCCAGCAACACATCAGTCTTTGTGTCATGGAAGTATAAAAAGATCTATGCATTTGTATTCTGTCACATCAATGTACACATTTCATTACAATTAAAAGATCCAGGCTGGTATAAATTGTTTAATGAAATAGTAGCTAGTGTTTAAGTAGCAGGGCTGCTTTTGTTTTCAGTAAGGAAATCATAGGAGCACGGTGTCAGAGATTTGTCTGAACAGGACCCTAATCACAAAGTGGTTAGTTTTGTAAGGCGACATATGATTTCCTGATCAAATCAGTTAAAATCCATTAAATGAGGAATGAACAAATGACCGCATATTCAGAGGTCAATAAGTCTCATTGACAGTGACAAAAGCCTCAGGATAAATCTTCATTTTGGAGCAGATGGTGGAAAAAATGAATGAAGGAGGGAGAGGTTTGGAGTCACTGTTTTAGAGTTATAGCCTTGTGCTGGTTTTGGCTGGGATAGAGTTAATTTTCTTCATAGTAGCTAGTATGGGGCTGTGTTTTGGATTTGTGCTGGAAACAGTGTTGATAACACAGAGATGTTTTTGTTACCACTGAGCAGGGCTTACACAGAGTCAAGGCCTTTTCTGCTCCTCACCCCACCCCACCAGCGAGCAGGCTGGGGGTGCACAAGAAGTTGGGAGGGGACACAGCTGGGACAGCTGACCCCAACTGACCAAAGGGATATCCCATACCATATGACGTCATGCTCAGCATATAAAGCTGGGGGAAGAAAAAGGAAGGGGGAGACCTTTGGAGGGATGGCGTTTGTCTTCCCAAACTGTTACGCATGGTGGAGCCCTGCTTTCCTGGAGATGGCTGAACACCTGCCTGCCAATGGGAAGTAGGGAATGAATTCCTTGTTTTGCTTTGCTTGCGTGCGCGGCTTTTGCTTTACCTGTTAAACTGTCTTTATCTCAACCCACGAATTTTCTCACTTTTCCAATTCTTTCCCCCATCCCAGCAGGGGGGAGTGAGCGAGCAGCTGCGTGGGGCTGAGTTGCCAGCTGGGGTTAAAGCACGACAAGCCTTTTTATCATACAAACCAATTATAGAAAGAGCTTGCAACTAAAAGCACCAGGAACTGAGCAGTAGTCCAATATGTAATGCCAGTCACAAGGAACTGTGAAAAAGTTACATCTAAGAGTGTACTGGATTTCTGAGGCCCTGTTAATGATATACAATCAAGGCATGGAAAGAGCCAGTGTCATTTGTAAACATGATTTTTTTTTTTTTTACAGTTCTCTGAAAAGCCTCTGAATGTCTTTTGTGTTATATGATCCTTTCTGTACTGGGGCATAAAACCTTCTGTTTAATTATGATTCATCTACTGAAACGTTATTGAAGCACATGCGATCTCAATGGGACTGAAGAGGAGTGTCTATAGCATTGCGCTTGCTAGATCCATGATGTCAACCCTTTTGTTTTAATAGCTAATATCAACAAAATAGTGTCTCATCAAGATTTACAATTAACATAAGTCTTTGATACAACGAAACGTTTGTTAGAAATAGCCATTAAATACTTTATAATTTAATGATAAAGACATCAGCCAGTGTTAATAACCACCACCTGGATTCTGAAAAGCTAATTCAGTGAGCACTGTGAAAGCTGTAAATGAAGCCGAAGATCTATAAATGCTGTTTTACCCAAGCCTCAAATTAGGCTTTTATTTCTTGATAGAATGATAATAAAATTAATCAAACACTAATCTAAAGAGAAACTACATTTTTGTCATTCAAGGTTTACAGTCTTAAAACCTCTCAAATAAGAACCCCTGATAAACAGAGTTCCTGAAAATAGGAAGTTCTTTGTACTAGTGACATATCATGAGTCCCAGAATTATTAATGGCCAAATTCTTTATAAAAAGAGGAAAAGATGAGGGCCATCCATCTAATATTATATCCCTTTAACCAGTGTCATATATTTTATTCATACAGAAATTTTAGGCACAACAGAACTGTAAACATCAATCTTCCTTGGCTCTGCAAACCAGGGGAAGTCCTGCAGCTCATGCTTTTAAAATAGCCTAAAGTAGTCATAATCATCTGAATTATAAAGATCTTTGAGAACAAGTCAGTCTCAATAGCTGTATTTTCCCATATTAAAAATATAAATTTGAGCCCTGCCAAAGGCTTCATAGATCTCCCACATCAAGTTCTGCTTCCCTCACTGGACTCAATCTTTGCATCAATTGCTTCTTCTCTCGTATCACAGGTCATCACATCCTGACACCAATGCAGGAGGGATTCCTGCCTGCTTGTCCTGGTTTCGGCTGGGATAGGGTTAAATTTCTTCCTAGCGCTGTGTTTTGGATTTAGTATGAGGAGAATGTTGATAACACACTGATGTTTTCAGTTGTTGCTCAGTGCCCTCCTAGTCCAAGGACAGCTCCCATGTCTACTGACTGAGCTAGGTACACAAGATGGGAGGGAACATAATCAGGACAGCCAGCTCAGCTGGCTAATGGGGTATTCCATACCATGTGACGTCATGCTCAGTATATGAATGGTAGGCGTGATCCAGGAAGTACCGATCACTACCTGGTTATTGGTCAGCGCGGGCGGTGAGCAATTGCATTGTGCATCACTTATTTTGTATATTTATCATTATCATTATTATTTTCCCTTTTCTGTTCTATTAAACTGTCTTTATCTCAACCCACGAATTTTTCTCACTCTTACCCTTCCGATTCTCACGCCCCCCGCGCGGGGGGGGGGGGGGGGGGGGGGGGGGGGGGGGGGGGAGTGAATGAGCGGCTGCATGGTATTTGGCTGCCTGCCAGGTTAAACCACGACACTGCTTCATCAGAACTGCACATGTTCGGGTTGAAGGACAAGACGGAGGAGCAGACTGCAAACTTCTTCTCCAAAGAATAGAAAAAAAAGCTAGAAAAGGGGTGAACCTTACTCTCATATTGTTCCATTGCCAGGTAAGACTCCATGAGGTAAACCGCTGTGACACTTTCACACCTTGCAGGAAATACTACTATTACAATAAAGTATGTCATAGTGTAAACATACAATACTATATCGAGTTTATTTATCGCCTGCCAACTAAGGCGGTGTTAACTTGAAACTCAAGCCAAATTTGGGGTCACAATGAGAAATTGTGTTAAATTAGTTTCAGTCTGAGTTTGTATTTCAAACAAAAAAAAGGCTTCACTCTCTCCCAAAATCAAAGCCCTCTTTTATCCTTTGCTTTTACAGAGAAAATATTCTCGAAATATGTATCTTCCATATTAGCATTTAGGTTTTGTCAGCTGTCCAATTCTTATATGATGAATTCAACAGCATAGATATACAGTTGGAAGGAATGTTTTATAGTGGGTACTTCTTATCTTCAGGGAGATATTTTAGACTAAATTGTTTCTGACATTTCACTAATGATTTTATGAACAATTTGACCTTTGTTGTCTTCCTCTTTAAAGTGCATAGTATAGCCAACTGCCAGGAACCACTGAACCATACGCTGGGAACAATGCCAATGTAAAGACAAAAGCTACTTAGAAGAAGTACCATCTGAAAAAGTTTGTCATGTGTAGTCTAATATTTTATTTGAACTTTATAGGTATACATTTATGTTGCACAAGAGTCAAAGACAGAACTCCAAAAACACAAGTCAAAGGTCCCTGCCCTGAATTATTTATACTCCAAGCAACAGAATGACAAAAAGTAAAAACCAGAAAGATGAAAACAGAGTATGACATTCCTGTCAAGAAAGCTCTTCACCACTTATCTGTTGATTTGTTCATTAAAATCTGGAATCTAGCAATAATCCATATTCAGAAACAGTAGTCGAATGATATTTCTCTCTCATGCAACAGATGCACATTTTGGGCTAAATTATCCAAATTGCACAAAAGGGAATAACTGCATGTAGAAATGGCAGGAGGCAAAAGAGGTTTTCTTTTTCAAGGATTTAAAATGTCAAAAACTGTTTAAACCTTTGCTGGGATTTTTACAGACTTGTATCATCAGTAAAGTCCACCAAGGAGATAGCCTTTCAAATCCACATCTCTTCCTTGAACTGTTATGCTGGATCCAGCTAGAAAATCAGCAAAGCGAGTCACTAGATTAAAAGGTCCTCATGGCTTTCTTGGTGTGAAGACTAAAGGTTGGGCTAGACCACAGAAGATCTATGTTCTCTTTTTAATGTAGCTGAATCATGTCACTCCTTCGTGTTTTTATTTATTCATCTGTAAAATGTGTCTGATATTTAAGTTTCTTGTAAAATGCTTTAAGATCTTTCCAATGGGAAGCATTCCCAGAGCTGGTATCATTAGAAAGACATGGCAAGGAAACCCTCTGCTTATTGTGCATCTTTTAATACGATGCATGCTTCAGTGCACAGTAAAAAATTGCTGTCAAATTCTGACCTGTAGTAAATGGAAAGGCAAGTGCTTAACAGAGGGCAAAATTTTTTTAAAGCCTTAAAATGAACAGTAAAATCACTGCAAGATTCAATGAGGCATAGAGAACAA